TCACTGAAGCAATGAGCATAAAACTGAGCCAACTCAGGGAGGCAGCAAAGGACAGGAAGGCCTGGTGCGATGTGGTTCATGGGGTCATGAAGAGTCGGACACGACTTAACGACTGAACAACAAGAAGTTTGTTTCAGCATCAGATGCTCTTTGAATGCAGCTTCTTTTTTGGGGGGGGAGCAATACATTTCAGGAAGACCTAGCAACTGGATTTTTCACCCAGGACCCATGATCCCCCACAAGAGACATCACACAACCTGATGTCATCACCCAAATCAGGCAAATTGTGTACTTCATAATTTCATGCCATGCCATCTGACCCAGCATGGCTTCTAACAGACACCAGCCACACCCATTATGACAGGATTTGTGTGATGACATCTTAACACACAGGACCTCATTGTGTTCTCCTGGATTCCTAGCCATCTTGTTCCACACACACGAAGCCGGTTGTCTCGAAGTCGCACCCTTGGCACTTAAACGTTCCTGAGCACCGCAGTGTGCTTGCTACTGCTGGGGAAGATGTGCATCTCTGAAGGGCGCCACAGAAGAGCCACCTTTGGAAGATGTGAGCACAAGCTCACACGGAGACCTCTGCCACCAGTGTACCAGCCTACAACACGCACAGCTGAGAGTCAGGGTGGGAGAGGGGGCGGAGGTGAAGTGGTACCTGGGCCAGCGGCTCTGCCCGGCTGTGTGTAGCACTCTCCCATCAGGCAGGACCACCTGTAAGTTGAGGACATTCTGGCGCATGGTGCCGTAACGCACCGCGTTCGTCCCAGAGGCTGCAGTGGCCACCATGCCACAGAGCGAGGCGTCGGCCCCAGGGTCTGAGGAGGAAGGGAACAGCGAGGTGTGAGGAGAACCTCACCCCCCCGGATTCCTCCCACCGGCCCCCACCCACCCCAGAACTGCAGAAGCCTGGCCACCCCTTAGGCCGAGCCTCTGACTTTGCCCAGACCTGTGCTGAGTTCAAAAGGCAACAGCCAGCGGGGAAATCCAGCTCTTTGGCTACACACCATGCGCAACCCAGGTGGTGGCCGCTTTAGCTCTCCTGCCAGGGCATCCACAGGGAGTGGTCAAAAAAGTCAAGACGGTGCTTGCAACAGTAGGATCAAAGGTCTGGTTTTTACCTGGGTGTCTGTGCCTATGTGTGCAACAGAGTTTCAGTTGCAGTTACGGCTGTCTTAACTTTTTTGACCATACTCTGTGGACATCTCTGCCCCCTGCTTTGGACCTCAATGCCCCAAGCCTCGGCATTTTTGCTAAGGACGAAGAGCGCAGCCTGTTTTGAGCGGGCAGAAAGGATCAGATGAGCTGCTCTGTTTGGGGTTAGATCAGCCCACCCAGCTCTGGACCAGCCAATTTTATTTAGGGGGCACCTCAGATGGCACCCTAACCAGCCACCCTCCCTCCAAAAGGTGGGCTAAGCCAGGGCAAAACTTAAATGTGTCTTGCGTTAATTTATTTTTCAATATAGATTGTGAATGTGATTAAATAGTTACACTGAATCCACTTGTACCGATGCAGCCCCCCAACACTGAGGGTGAGGCCCCCCAACCTTGGGGCCACTGATGCCCCCCAACAGTTTCCATGCTGCCGTACCAACAGGGAACCAGAGCCCACTCCCTCGCAAGAATCTGTTCAGCGCCTTGTGGGTCACTCCTGGCTCTACAGCAACGGTGAAATCTTCGGGGTTCAGCTCAGAAATTTGGTCCATTTTCGTCAGGTTGAAGCACACACCACCCTGGGGAAACACAGGCAGGGTTCACGCGACAGATGAAACCCCAAGACCTGGGTTACGAAAATGCAGCTGATATCACTTGCTTCAGGTAAAGTTTCGCAGAATCAAAACCTTCTTCTGGATGGTTGTTACAAATTCCCACTCTAGGCTGCAGCTATGGGATCTCCTGGTGGTGTCCACTCTAATTACTCACAGGTCTGATGGTCTTACTAATGGTCAACTACACGTGGCCCCCCAGCTGAGGGGAATATGCTGTACCCAAAGAACAAAACCATACTGGGGTTTACTGGGACGGTCTCACCCACACCACGTGCTACGCCCAACGATCAGGAAAAGCCAGCCAGAGTTCCCATTGGGTGGAAAAAGGCTGGGGGGGAGGAGATAGTTTCCCATGACCCTTCTTAGCGCCCCCCCCCTTAAGCTGGTCTGTTCCTTTCCTAATAAGAGGGCTCACCAAGCTATAGGCAAAAGCTATAGGGACCAGTGGGTGCGAAAGGAAAGCTGGCTATCAGGCTCGTGGAGAGCATCCCCCTCCCCTTACATCTCTCTTCACAGCAGTCCAGACTCGAATCCAGGTCTCCCTCCGCCTGGTCCAACCCTTCAAAGCCCTGGGAAACTCTTGGTTCTGGATTAGGATCCCAAGCCATTCAAGGCCGGGCTGAGCAGCTCCCTCAACTGGTTCACCCAGCACGCCAAACCCAAATGTGGTTTGGTGTGGGTTAATGTGTCTGGGGAACCCAGCCACGTGCAGTTGGTAAACCATGCTTTGTGGCTTGGGATGTGGCACACGTCACCCTGTAGCTTGTCCGAGAACAAAAGAAACCACAGCTTGGTGCAAAGTGTGCAAGCCGTCCATGCAGTGCATTTGTCTGCAGCTGATCGAAACCGTCCCAGCCGACAGACCCGTGTTTCCCCAGCACACTGGCTGGGGAATTCTGGGAGTTGAAGTCCACACATCTTAAAGTTGCCAAGGTTGAGGAACACTGCCAGACCAAGGCTCAGAAGGTCCCAGAAACCAACTCTGAATAAACGACCATGACATAAACTATCCCCAGTTAAGACTCGGGCCAGATCCTGCTGAGAGTTAAGCCCCGAGCGCGTCCGCAGGAACGGGCCAGCCTCGCCTCTCCCTGGTCGCAGTTCCTCCCAGCTCCTTACCTGCACGGCCGTGACCCCCCCTTCCAGCCCTGTGCCCGTTCCGAAGGGGATGACAGGGACCCCTCGGCTGTAGCACATCGCTGCCAGCAAGCTGACCTGCTCCATGCTCTGGGGCCACACCACGGCATCTGGCGGGCAGCTCCTAGGAAGGAAAGACACAGGAGAACCTCTTCACAGAGGTGAAAAATTGGGAGGAGGCCGGGAGCACCTTTTCTGACCAACAAATATTATGAAAAGGCATCAGCTGCATTGGCAAAACAGCTAGCTCAGCTCTCCCCCCGGCATGTTCAGAGAAGTGAAGAAGATGGACCCCTTTGGGGGACAGAGCGGCAACTGTCCCAGGGCCCCTACATGGAGAAGTATCTTCCCACATACAGTTCAGGATTTTAAATGATTGATGCAGGTAGACCTCGCTTACTGACTGCCTTGTTTAGTGACCGTTCAAAGTTATAACAATGTACAAAAAATAGCTTTGTGACCAATCCTTGCATTTGCGACCGTTGCAGCATCCCTGCAGTCATGTGATCGCCATTTGCGTGCTTCGCAAGTGGCTTCCAACAAGGAGAGTCAATAGTGAGCGCAGAAGTAAAATCGCAAGTCGCGGTCACGTGATATCTCACTTAACAACTGTGGTGACTCGCTTAATGACCAAAGTGGAAGTGAGGTCATACGTCCCTCATGGTCACGTGATTTTCTACCTAGCAACTGCAACACTTAGCAATAGAGTTGCTGGTCCCAATTGTGGTCACTAAGTGAGGATGACCTGCATCCACATTTTTATTCCAAGCCATATCAGAGAAAATATAACTCCAAGTTAATTCAAAAGTTTGGGATTCCCCATTTGGTTGCAATTCCTCAGCTACTATGGAGGCACAAACAGCAGAGACCAGATGTAGTGACAGGAAAGAGGGCAAAAGCTCTGAATGAACTTCGCAAGCATCTCAGAGGCTTGAAAATATTCTGGCAACAGATGCCTTTCCTGCCTCCTGATGTAGAAAAAGGAGAATGCAAAGGAGTCAAACATACCTGTGCATTGACTCATCCCGCCCATGTTGCTCACAGACAACGGTGGCTGTGGACACATTGGGGCTCCCCACAACCGCTCTCAGGGAACTGAGGAAGTCCTCTGTCAGCCATTCCTGGGGAAGGAAAGGAGGCCACATGGAGAGCACAACACAAGAAGGAGGCAGAGTTTGTTTGTGGTGGTTCCATATAGATTCTGAGGTGGTAGCAAGTCTGTATTAGATTCCCCGTACCCACTTCCTTCCCAGCCACGGATTCAGCAGACACAGGCTGATGTTCTTAATCCCTTCCTTTACCTTCTGTTTTGCACCAATTTACCTGAGGCACTAAAACAGACCCCGACCACAGGAATTAAAAAAGGGAATGTCTCCTTCCAGCAGAGCTCCTGGTGGCTTTACAGACCTCTCCATACAGTGCTCTTGGGAACAATATGGCTTTTCTCCTTCCTGGAACTCTCTAGTGGGCTCCCATTCTAATATTAACCAGGCCTGGCCCTGCTTAGCTTTAGAGGCCAGACAACAGAAATAGCTTCAGTCCCAAATAAAATCATCAGTGACACTTCCCCACATACCAAAGCAATACTTCCCTTTGCAGGAAGAACACTGGTCTGGAGGCACAGAGCGTGCCACTATGCATGTGCAGAGGGCTGTCCCCTTCATCTCGCTAGCAACTCTGAGAAAGCAAAAGTAGGCATTCCCTCTCAGTGGGGGCTTCCCTCCTCCTATGGAACAGTTGCCCCCGCCTCATTCTTCGGCCTTTGGGGAGCTAGTCAAAACCTGGCTGTTCTGGAAGGCCTTTGGGTCCTGACTGGTGGGAATCATCAGCAGCAGAGGTGTTAAAAGTGCAATTGTTTATATTGAATGTAACTTTGATTTATTCTGTATGTATGTATCTGGCTTGTTGCTGTTGGTCATCTGCCCAAGTCATTTAGGCCTGAAGCGGGTTAAAAGTCTTATAAATAAGTAAATATCCAACTTCCCCATAATGGGCAGAACTCCAACAAGTGAAGCTTTAGAGCAGTGTTTTTCAAAGTTGGCAGCTTTTAAGATGGGTGGACTTCGACTTCAAGGCTGGCTGGGGAATTCTGGGAGTTGAAGTCCACCCATCTTAAAGTTGCCAAGTTCGAAAAATACAGTACTGCTTTAGGCGCTCTGTCCTAGGAAAACAATAACCATCTGCCGACTTGAGGTTGTGAAAAGTAATCAAACCACCCATAACCAGGCTGCTTTGCACAACAGCCTGGCTACGACAGAACCGACTGGTCTGCGATTGGTCTCATCAGGTGGCAACCGCGGGACGGCCCCCAAAGCGACACGTTTCCTAACAGGTCCTCCAACCCAAAGTGACCTCAGTCTCCCTTACAGTACAGTATTGACGAAGCGGCGCTGCAGCTCCTGGGACAGAAGAGCAACCTCGCCCACCCCAACCATACACGGTGCAGCCGGGACCGGCAGAGAAAACCGCTTCCCCGTCCGAGAAACATCAAAGAACCGGGCTGCGCACGCGAGAGAGGCCAAGCCGAGGGCAAAGGGCCCCGCGCAGGCAGGCAGGCAGGCAGGCAGGCAGAAAGCCAGCAGATCCGCACCCGGCCCGTGCCAGCTTTCTCCGCGCACGGCTGCAGCCACCCAACCCCTTTGCTGCTCGTCCCCGGTCTCCGGGAGCGCCCCGCCAGGAGGGACCATGCTCGGCCGCCCCTCCCGTCGGTCGGTACCTTGCCGGGCACCGCAGAGAAGCGCCGGACCGCGCAGCCCAGCGGTCGCCGCAGGGCCATGGCTGTCCGCGGGGCGGGGCGGGGCGGGGCGGAGGTGGGAGGCGGCGCCGCCCGGCCGCGGCTTAAGGAGGACCGGCGGCGGCCCCCGCGCGCCT